TAAAGATGTTCGTCAGCGGTTTATCCGGAAGGTTTGCCTCATCTTCACGGCACAGGCGACCTGGGAATTGTTGAGAAGGAGAAAGGCTGAAAAAGGTAACACTTTGGCGCAGGAAAGTATAGCGTAACAAATGTTGAGGGGAACAAATTAAGAGGTAGCAATAACATGTGTCCAGATTTATCAATTAACATCACCTCAATATTTTCATGGAAACGGAAGCTAGTTGTCAAAGCGTATTTGTAGGATGTTTCTGACTTTAGAGCCAAGTTACAAAGAACAAGTGCGCACGGCGGTTTGGAGGGGGTAACAAGATCAATCAACGAGCCTGCACAAGCCCCTCGGGAATACCTGTGCACTCTTGTAACCGAAGCGGCTCTTTTTACCGTTTCGCAGCTTTACAAGTATCTAGAGGTCCTACCAAACTAAGACCTGTTAGTCAACACGAGCTAGCAAAAGGAACTAGCCGAAGTGCAGAAGCCCCACCCTCCCGAAGCCAACCTCCGTCCACCAAAGTGCTACCTGTTCACTAACATGAGCTACGAAAAGGAGCTAGGGAAGTGCAAAACGCCCCTCCCAAGTCGAAAAGCACCGAAAAAAGTTCACCAAAGGGGTAGTGCACTTCGCCGCAGACGACATCTTCGCATCAAAGATCTTTCTTAAAACGATCTTCACAACTATACAACACTGGATCGTTTCCAGACGGGCCCCCGCTCTGTTGAACCACACTTAAAGGCAGTAAGCACCAGCTGCCAAGCGGGCGGTTACCAATAATGTCACTGGTAGAAAGGCTGTGAGAAGGCGTTTGGACAGATTCCAGCCCTTCGCCCAACGACGTTGGCAGTAAGCGCCCGCCCTCAGCCATCGTGCCCACTGCCTTTGAATAATGGTTCACATATGCGCAAAATACAATTTCTGGACACTCTACTGTACTACACAACTTCCGCGTGTACCACAAGATCTGTTTTACATCCACAATTGAGTAATATGTGAGAAATAATGCATACGCCCACTGAAAGCCCCCTCCTCATGGGATTTCTTTTAAATACCAATTCTGAAAGGTCTAAAATTACTCACAGGTTCCTCATTCGACGAATGTTGATCCTTTCCATGAACGTGTACTGCTTGCGGGCAGCTTCTCTTTCCTCTCTTTTCAAGCGACGTTCGAGTTTTTGCTGCCGAGTAAGACCTTGCTTGAGGGCTCTTTTACGACCTGGTATGAGCGACAACTCGTTATAAGGTTTCGATTTTAAAAGAGAAGGAGACTAAATACCTCTCAGTTGTGTGAAATCCCCCGCGACTGGTCGCAAAAGATCGAATGCCACTAATCCGCTACATGATGATATTGCAGTATTCCGAAGTAAAGAAAACATCTGCAACCGGTTTCATGGGGTATATGCAGGAAGAGCCAGAAAAAGACGCATTTTTTCCTCGACTTTCAAG